TACACTTATTTTGAGAAGTAATAGTTTGATTTAGTTATACTTTTTAGTTTTTTTCAAATTAGATATTAATTTTAAAAGCGTGTCTTCTAAAAATAAATTCATTTAATAATTTTAGTTTAAAAACTACCTTACGGAATAAATTATATTAATGATAATAAAAAGTCATCGTAAAAATTAAAAAATGTTTATTAATAATTTGTATATAATAAGTATTAATGAAGACGTGAATATTATTAATAAAAATTAAAACTAAAATAAATATTTTTATAGTTTTAATATTTTAATTTTAAAAATCTTAAAATTAATTTTACATAATAATTATTAAATCATATTTTTAATTTTTAAAATTGAAACTATTCTTTTTAAGTAACGAAGTTTTAATTTTAGTTAATGTCTGATTTTCTATTATACTATTTATGATAAATATTAAGAGAATAAGAAATATTATAATGTTTTATTAAATATGTTTGACTAATATATGACTCTTAAATAATCTGTAACTTTAAAATAACTGTGATATTTTTCTTTTATAATAAACATAATAAAATTCATTTAAAAAACCATATTGTTCAAATAATCTTTGAAGTTTTCATATAATAATAAACTTTGACATTAATTATTTTGAAATTTCTTTTCATGAATTAATAATATATAAAGGAAGAGTGAAATAAGAAATGAAAGATGTAAAAAAAAAAGGAAGACAGTGTGGTCGGGAGAAGTTAGAGGCAAATAGGAACAGAAAAACATGAGAAAAATCTTATCTCAAATCATAAGTTGTAAGCTCCATAATCATCTTTTTTTTTTTTTTTTTTTCTCACGGAATCAAATGCATCAATACCAAATCATTGGTGGGGCCCATATGTCTGTGCCACATATACATCCTCTCGTCTTCCCCACGTGTCTACACTCCCCACCTATTCCGTTCCTCTCTCACTTTAATAAAATACTCACCAATACACAAAACAACAACAATATAATATTTTATATTTTCTACTTCACCATTTTTTTATAAAGAAAAACTTTTATTTTAAACATCATCTAAAATACGATAAATTCTTCACTAGCTAGGTCAGATGGAACATATAGCATTCACGATAGGTTGTATTGCTTAAGAGTTATAAAATGTTATATTCAATTTAAATATTGAACAATCATTTTAAAAAATGTACTATATTATTTTTATACATTTAAATAAATAATAAAACAAGTGTGTATTAATATATTCAAATTAAAATAATTAAGCGATACAAATTTAGAAATAATAATAATAATAATTTGAACTCATTAATTATTCATTTTTCACTTTTTTATGTATAAGAACTTTTTTATATTTGGGGTAATTTGAGAAAATTTGCCACAATAGATACATTTAAAGAAAAGTTCAAACACTGATAACTGTGTTTTTGAAACGATAACTTGTTTCTATAGAGAAGTTGTGTTACGAGACATGTCACATATATTAATTTATATTGAGGAAATTGTGTTTGGGAAAACAACTTTTTTATTTAAAATTACGTTTAAATCACAAACTTTTAATTTAATTTTCATAGAAATACTTTTGTTTTTTTAAAATAGTGTTCTTCAAAACTATTATTTTGTTATTTTTTTCAATTTATTTATTTAAAAACAAGAATTATTAATGAGCATGACTTTTTTAGAATAGATTGTATTTTTATAAAATAAAAACTTGAGAGATTAAAATAACGTTTTAATAAAACATAACTTAAAAAATAATAAATTGAAATAATGTATTAAATACGAAATTATGGTTGAGAAGATAAATTTTTTCATGAGATGGCATCTGAGACAAACTAACCTATTCATACAAGTTTTTGAAAATCTTATGATATTGATAATTTGCAAAAAGAAAAGTAAAGTTTGGTGTATAAGCAAAACAAAATTATTTGGTGAAGATGACTTGAGAACCACCGCCACTGATTTGTTGGGTTTCATGTCTCTCTGTTGTGGGGATGTGACGTGGAATCAGATTTTTACTGATTTGATTAAAGCCAAGACTTGATTCATCGCTATATTTCACATGAATGAATGTTATGATTATGGCCAATCATCCCATAAAGTGAAAATTGGGAGAAGAAATACCCCATATAATAATCTGCAATAATACCAACACTAATCCTCTTCAAATCATGTTGAGTTCCAGGTTTTTGGCCTTAAGATTTAAATTCATTCACCGTGTCAACGTCAAATTCCATTCACATTAGGTGGGTTTATTGGACTCACACAACAAAACAAAACAACGGTTGATGGTCTCCTTTTCCTTTTGGTATTCAGCCACTCACTGACAAAACACCTGGATAATCCCCTTCTTAACAATTTTTTAAAGAAAATATTCGAAATCATTTTTTTTTTCTTGTTGAAAATTTTGAAATAGCAAGAAAAAGTTGATTTATTTGTTTGGGAAAGAAAAATTGAAGAGTTGGTACTTGTTGCGTGATAAATACCTAGGTATTTTTCGTAACAAAGAAGTTGATATTGAAAAATGAGGTAAGCAGGCACGCGCAAGATTCTAATTTGTTGCAGGCGAACAAAAAAGGAAATGATGATTATCATTAAAAGAATATATAAAGGTGGTATTTCTCTTTTCTTTTTGACCTTATGATCGTTGATGAGATTGAAATTAAATAGAGGTATCCCGTTAAAGTTAGACAAAAGAAGCGTGCTTCGTCTCCCTTCGTCTACATACTGCTTAGTTAATACATTCTTATTCTCCTTTATGTATGCTGACTCGGGTCATTTGTCGGTATGGTTCGATGTAATAATAAGGTTTAAATCAATTTCAATTAGAATATTTTCCTTTTTCGTCCTTCCATTTCAATAACAATCTCCATTATCTAAACAAATACATTCAAATTAAACAATGTTTTAAAGCATACAAATTATTGAAGCGAGTTGTGTATCTCTTATAATAAATAAAACCATATTATTTTTTTAAAAATAATTTGACATTTCTCTTTAATTTAATTTCTATATATTATTAATGTAAAAACTTTTCAGTATCATTAATCAGAAACCACAGTTTATATACATTTAAATTCGTCACGGTGTAAAATCGCTTTATACTATCCATGTACAGAGTATTTACAAATTATCTTCCCTCAAATTCAGTAAAAAAAGTGTTGGTCTGGTCTAAATTTAATACTATGAAAATACCAATAATATTAATACTAAGTACGTTGACAATAAAACGTATGATGCAAAATAATAAATCAACCATTCTTCATAATAAGGCATGAGCCCAACACATAATTGAAGAAATGCATTTGAATTTTTTCATCATGTTTATTATCACTATCACCCATGTACCGTATATCACCATGTTTGAGTGACCTGTGACCAATTTACCTGAAAACACCTTTGTGTGGAAAAGAAAAATTCCTTTCAAAATTCTGTCAGTCCTGATTCAACCTTGAACAACTTAAAAGATATTTTGCCTTTTAACTATGACGTCATATATATGGGCAGCAGTTCCTATAAGTTGGCACTAGTGTGATGAATTACGCTCGTACGGTCGTAAGAAATTAATTTGAACCAGTTGACATTGAAGAAAGCCGCTAAGTGAGCAGCCATGCATGAATGCAAATTCATGAAAGATTTAAATTAGACGAATAAATAAATAAATAAATAAATTAATTAGCTGAATAGGTTGAATGAATATTAGTAATAATTAGTAATAAGTAGTAGCATTAATTGATGAAGAATTAGGATGTGGGGTTAACGGCGTTTTGAATTTCGTAGGAGGGTTGTGGAGATTATAGGTTGATCATGAATTATGAGTGAGCCAATTGCTGCAACGCATCGCCGACAATGCATTATTGGAAGTGCTTATAGTACAAATACAGAGAAGTAGGTCCGGAACACTCCACATCAACTTTCTAGTTAAGCAAAGATCCGGATTCTTGTTGATGAATCATATTCTGGCGCCATTATAACTCTTTGAAACTCCATTTGTGTCTTGTACCTACTTTTCTTTTCTTTTGGAAATTAACAAATCGTGCACATCCCTTTCTACTCTCCCGATTCATAATAAGCAAGAGAAAACCGTCCAACCATCCCTCACATTCCTCGTTCATTAACAAGTAGTAGTAACTAGAAGTAGTATGCTACCCATCTCTTATCTCTAACTGGTTAACCCGGCACGGAGTGGGAGACAGTTCATGCGGGTCTGTTACAATTATGGAAAACACGCACACACATATCCATGTGTACCTAGTTCCAATCATATAGTATTTTGTGTGTGTTTATTTGGGAAATTACATATGGGGTGATCTTTGGATGAGTGGGAAGCAAAGTATAGGAACGGTCCACAATACATGGTTCATGCAACGAATAACAATAATAAACATGAAGGAAAAGAAAAATTGGAATATGGACTGGTGGGACACGAGTAAAGTGGGAGTAAAGGGGGCCAATAATTGGGACAATGTAAAGTGAAGGTGCTACATACTACGCGGGGAAGCATATATGGGAAAGGAATTAAAGTGTGGCAATAATTATGTATTGTAATATAGGTACGTGTGTGGGTGGCGAAGGGAAGCGAATCACCCACCCTCTTGATGTGTGTTGGCATTGGCATTGGCATGTGAAGATGTTAGGATTGTATAGCAATATAGGATCCGAGAGAGAAAGATTATCCAAGTTTGTCTGTTATCATAATGGAGGTAACAGTAGTGGGGCACAAAATGGTCAACCTATGCAAGAGATATAGAGGTCATAATTTCCAACACCCATATTCGTTTCCCTACTCATTCCGCCCTTTGATTAATAATAATCATAGCCACCCACCCACCCACCCTTTGCCCCCACAAAAAGTCGCATTCATTCTCTTTCCCCTAACTCCCTCCCTCCTCCTTCTTAATAAACACCCTTGTGCTACCTCCCATCACACTTTATAAACCACACCATCATCTAATCATCATCTAAAACTAAACCACTCTCTTCCCTTCCTCTCCTCCTATCACGCATACTCCTTCCATCACCTTATGATGGGTCTTCATCAGGATGCTACCAACTCAGGTCTTCAGCTTATTCTAGGATTAGCTCTCACAGCCACCCCGGAAGACTCCATCACTCCGTCACCACCATCCATTTCCAACAACCCTGATCATCATCATCATCATCATCATCATCTTCCAACACTTAGGCCAAACTCCTACTCCTCTAAATCCAGTTTCGTCACTTCAAGTAACTCCGAGGCTGAGCCATCACTAACGTTGGGCCTCTCTCATGAGAGTTACCGGCAGCAGGTGGTGAAACTCCCCAGAAACATAGGACACAACAAAGTCTCCTCTGAGGACCCTCTTGAACAGACTTCACCTCACAGCGCTATCTCCTCCTTCTCCAGTGGCAGGGTCAAGAGGGAGAGGGATATTAGCTGTGAAGAAGTGGATGCAACAGAGATAGAGAGGGTTTCTTCAAGAGCCAGCGACGAAGAAGAAGACGGCCCCACCGCCAGGAAGAAACTTAGGCTTACCAAAGAACAATCCGCTTTGCTAGAAGAAAGCTTCAAACAACACAGCACGCTCAATCCTGTAATCATGATCTCCCTCTTGATTATTTTCAATCATGCATGATATAAATAACACTTTTTTAATAACTTTTTCTCTTCCTTTGAATATCATGACTAATATTGTTGTGTTGGATTGCGTTTACAGAAACAGAAGCAAGCTTTGGCGAAGCAGTTAAGTCTTCGGCCTCGACAAGTGGAAGTGTGGTTCCAGAACCGTAGAGCCAGGTAAATATATTTGATTTATTAAAACTTCGTAAGTTATAATACATGCTCGTGTTATTTAAAGGGGTCATATGTTATATGAATGTTTGAAATTGGTGATTCAGATTTTTTGTTTTGTGTCGCAGAACAAAGCTGAAGCAGACAGAGGTGGACTGCGAGTTCCTAAAGAAGTGTTGTGAAACATTAACAGACGAGAACAGAAGGTTGCAGAAGGAGTTGCAAGAGCTGAAAGCACTGAAACTGGCTCAGCCCCTGTACATGCCTATGCCTGCGGCAACCCTCACCATGTGTCCCTCTTGTGAACGTCTCGGTGGAGGCGTCGGGGGTGGCGCTTCCCCTAAGACACCCTTCTCCATGGCTCCTAAACCTCACTTCTTCAACCCCTTCGCCAATCCTTCTGCAGCATGTTGATTGATTCTTATTATTAATTAGGCTTTTAGTTTTACTTTTCACGTTGAAAAAAAAAAAACAACAACAATGAAAGAAGAGTTTCCCCGCAACCTTTGTATTTTTTTGGTTGGGGGATAGGATACGTCTTATGAATTACTACATCAGCTAGTGAAAAGGTTAAGGGTGTAATTAACTAATACTGTATAAATTTGTAACTGCTGATCAAAATTACTTTTTATTTTTCTTCTTTTGTTGTATGTTTATAAATGGTTATAGAAGAAGACATATCATATCTATGAAGGAATTAATCACTATTATTTTATTGTTCATTACATGTGTGATGTCCGTGGGCGTGTGTGTACACATGAAAACCTTTTGATTGCAGGTCCAAATCCGAATTATATGTCTTTGACTAAAAGGCTACTAAAATATTATACCCCGAAGAAAAAGAAATGAGTCATATCATATCATGTTCGCGAATTAGTAAAAGGACCCCCTCACCCCTTTCTACAACTCTGATAAAAATGAATTACTGGGATCTCTAAATGTTATTTAGCTCTATTTTTAATTTATTATTATTTTGGAAATATAGTGTATGTTGACTCTAATAGTATTGCAGAGTTCTTAAATGGAAGTGCAAAATTGAACATTAATCTGGAATCCGAAAGGGGAAAAGTATTCATTGCAATCATGTAATAGCTCCTATGCTACCTAATATTTTTAATGCATGTGGGTGCGTAGGGAGGGTATATTCAAAAGATAGATGGATATATGAATTGGGTTGGAGGCTATGATTATTAAGTGAGCCAAGGTTGAATTGAAGGTGCGGGAGGGGAAGTTAGCTCACGTGTTTTTGTCTTCAAATCAGTTGCTTAAAGAGAAACTGAATGAGAGAGAGAATGGCCAAGGCGGTGTGATTAAGCATGTGTGGAAAGAAAGAAGTCGACCATTCACTATCAAAAAAACACCAAATCAGAAAAAATTTAAAAGCTAACCCCACACTATTATGTGTTTAATCACTTTCCTGATTTTTTAAGTACTTTTTTTTAACTATAAAAAAATTCCAATCTATAATTAATTATCATACTAAAGTTAAAGAAAATTAAGATAATTTTGGATATACATTAATTTAGTATTTAAAATAATATTTTATTAGTGTATTAGTATCTAAAACTATTAGAAGTGAAAATAAATATAGGCAAAAAAAAAAGTTAGAAAGTAAATATTAGAGTAATATTGAATCTGAAGAATTAAATTTACTAATAATAATTTGTGGCGATGATAGAAGTAGAATCTATTATGTACATGATGTGGTCTCGTGAGATGTTTTACCTTTAAGGGGACTGGTGGGTCACACCCCCACGTGATAACCCAATGGGCCGGTCTCTCTCAAAATCTCAACATGAGATTTTCCTTCAAGGTCAGTCCTTCCATCTCTTTTCTCACATCCTCTTTTATTAAATTGCCCCAAACGAACCTGTGTCAAAAATATTTCTATCAAACTAGTAGTTGTTGCCATTAATTAATTTAATAAATAATGCATTGAAATTAATATTAAATAAATCAACTATAAAATCTATTATTTTGTAATCCATTCAACCTTTTTATTTTTTCATTTGTCATTTTATATTGAGGTTCCCAACTGCTCAAAATGACCGGTAACGATCACGTGTCCACTGCTATATACGTTCTAGCCACGCTATCATGATTGGAATTGGACGCTTCAACATTGAAAAACAGAGACTGGACAAGACTATCCCAACATTCATTATTTATATTTAACTATTGTATACATATTACACTGATTGTTTAACAAAAAAAAACACTTCCATAACTTACTTATTTCACAGTTCTTGGAGTGTACATACTTTGAAAAGAGAAAAGAGAGATAAAACCAAAAATGATTTACAAATGTGAGTGTGATATGAATCATAAGATGAAAAAAAGAGACGGATAAAAGAGGTGTAAAGTAAGTATAAAAATTGAAGCAAAACCAGTAAGAGTTAAAAACGTATGGAAAATATATTGATTAATCTTTAGTATTAAAATTCCACACATCATTGATAATGGGGTGGACCAATAAATAGGGTGAGAGAGTTTCCCGGAAAAGGAGACAAGTTCCTGGAAACTACGAATGAAAGTCCTCCTCCTCATCACTTTCATATGCCATTTTTAACCATTGCCATCGTCATCACATCCCACAAACTCTCTCCTTGTACTCCAACTCCACGACTAACAATTTTATAAACTACGCTGATTACGCGAGGACCCAAATAGTGTGAAAGCTATATCAAAATTTAGATATTTCCAGTTGAGTATTTCCACTCGTAATTGTAGCTTGTAAAACAAAAATTGAGAGTTGAACCAGTCACAAGTCAGTTTGTTCTGTTATTATCAATCTGACAAAGAAACTTTTTAATTGATAATAATTATTTATCTGCTTCACTGTCTCATAAATTTATAACTAAGTTTGACGGAATAAATAATTAAGCTGTTCCGTGACCCAGAATTTGCCGAACCACCCGGTCCATGGACACACGTGATCATCAGTGCAAGACTTGCTTAATCCTAGCGTGATGAAGCCGCGACCCAAAAAAATAGAGTTTAACCGTACAATGATACATTTTAGTCGGAGTTAAGCATTCTCAAATTCGTCATTATGCGTATTGAGTGGGTTCTTGCATATTATTACACATTTAATTCTTGTCTTTATTATCCTTCTTGCGCATGAGTCTTTATACCAGTTCTTGCACATATAGCGCATTATTAATTGATCCTCTACATTAATATAGTGCATTATTAATTGATCCTTTATGTTAAAGTCAAAAACTGTCTTGAAACAGAATATTCAAGTGTGATCAATCTGTTCATCTTATGTTAACCTTGTAGTTTTTAAAGGACCTTTAAGCCACGATCTTCTCCATCATTAGCAAAAGTAGTTTATTCAATCTTAATGGCTTGAATCATCTTTCGTGATCATCACACGAGAGAGAGAGAGAGATTAAAAAAAAAAGGTAAATTGAACTTGACTTTATATTATTCGGGAATTAAAAATCACCGGGTCAAAATAATATTAAGAAGAGGCAAGCCTTCTAACTAAATCAATAATGTATTGTAATAGACTAAATAATACAAGAACAAAATGAAGACTGAAAAATACATAAAATAAAATAACATTTGCATGCATGAAGAACCATCTAACCAAACTTAAATTTTTTAAGAAATATATATTATATAAATGAGTTAAAAAGAAAAAGGGAAGCGAAAGCGAAAGATGCATGTATGATAGGAAGTGGATCCATATTTAAAGAGTAAAAAGAAAAAAAAGAGTAATAAAGAGGGATATGTGGTTGATGCGTGGATGCAGAAGGAGACGAGGTTTGTGAAAAAGTCTTGGAAGTTTATTTGAGGTCTTGTGTTGTGATGGTATGATTTTGTGTTTTGTATAATACGTGTGCGCACACGTAATATATCCTAGATAAGCCGAAGACATATGTCTTGTGCTGGCTTCTTTGTCGGCCTTTAAATGGTATTCATTTCAACCATAACCCATGGTTTTATTATTTTGTCATCATTGGTGGAAAGCACTATGCCTACGCTCTAATCATCTTAACTCACTTCCCAATATAATAAATTTCCTTTCAAAACACTTAACTCAATCATCGGATTAATTACCACCCTATAGTTTATGCTTTGCAATTGCATCTTCACCCAATTCTTAAATACAGATTAAATACCTATCTCAAACGTGGACTAATTGTCACATTACCTAACTTACAAACACCATCCATCAATTATATCATCAATATTTTCCTCAACCCAACTACCCCAGCTATTACTTTAATTATGCTAAATTGATGATGTAACAAACTCAATTACATAAAAAATATACACATGATTTTCTCTTTTGTTTTACGCATTCCAAAGACAAAATAAAACTACTTTCCTACAATTTCGTATACTGTACATAAAAGTTCTCATTTAGGCTCTTGACTTATAAACAAAAATAGATAGTTGATTATGTTAAACATAGCCAATAAGAAACCCCGATTCGTCTTCTTGCCTCACTTATCTTTCTCTCCTGGGTTTACATATAAAACATCATCCATATCAACATATAACTTGGAGATCAAATGAAAGAATTGAACAACAGCCATTTTTTATGCCACACATGGAGGCTCCACTTTAGAAAAGATAACATAAAAAAAAAAGTCAAATGGAAAAAGTGAAGAACGGTAAAAACGTATCTAATGACTAAAGTTATGTTGTATTTATCAAATAGATTATTAACTTTCCCTCGTTTATTTTTGACTTCTCATGTGCACCAAACACATTGAAAACATGTACTCAGCACTTAAAATCAGGATTACTTTATATTCCATGTTTTTTATTACTTAATTTTTTATTGTTTAGTCATTAATTAAAACATTTCAATACTATGAAATGAACAAATTGAAAACATTTGTTTAAAAAAATGAAAAATAGGGCAGCACAAAAAGAATGTTGTATTTAATTCTTTTTAAATTAATCCAAGTTGTGGGCAAAACAACTTCAAGAATAGTACTTTAAAATTTAATCATTTACTCAACCCACCGATGAGATTTTGTTCCTAGAACAAAAGATAATATTATCTTTTAAATATTGCAAGCAGACAAAACATATAATGCACAACAAAATGGTGCTACAGAAAATTTTGCTGTGCCACAGAAAAAAAAAAATCAATTCTGTTCATTATTAATCGGTCATGAAACGATTAATACAAAGAAAATACACGCAGGGATGACTTATGTTGTGTAATTGTTTTTTTTTTTGGGTAGTCTTTACCAATACACATGGAAAGCACCAATATGAAAAGATGTTTGCGATAATGACTAGAGGAGGACGTTGAAACGTAGAAGAAGAAGGAATTGGGCATATGGCGCACAGTGAATTGATGAAAGGAATTAAACAAATTAATGGTGATGATAGTGTGGTGGTTTCCTTTTCATTTTCATTTATTAATCTGATGGTTTTGGGTTGGA